TGGGGAGATGGAGTGGAAGGAAAGTACCTGTCCACCAGATGCCACCAAAGCGCCAAAATCCAACACTTTGTTTAGATCAAAACTGTGGGAATAGAAATTTTCCTCAGAATGGAATAATTTAAACTACTTAGACAGTTAAATATAGTGGATGAATGCTATCATGCAAGCAATGACTGACCAGTAAAATGAAAGGAATATGTAGTGTATATAATATTTAATATAGAAACGGAAGAAAATAAACCTTCTAAATGATGTGCCTGCAGAATTTTCAGGATTGAGGTTAGGCCATGTCACAATGTCGGTGAAGGTCCCAGAAATCCCAGCTTCTAACAATCTCATTTCAAAAGTATTTGAGAGCTCAGTCAGCGATGTATGTTTAACATTCTCAGCAATAGCTCCGATGGCATGAGCTGCAGCAACCCTGGTATCCCACTTTTTACTGCGCAGATATTGGGACACCTGCATGTTATAAAAATGAAAGGTCAAACTTATGGAAATTTAAACTACACTCGTGCTACACCCTAAGAAATTAACAAAATTCACTTGGCATATTCAGAGCTAATATTTGAAAGTTGATCAGGAGCCTGTTCAATCACATTATCTTTCCAGTGGACCATTATCTATTCAAACTATTGTTTCAAAACAACATTAAGACACCAAAGTTTATGCAAAATTACGCTAATAAGAACTGAATGACATAATTTTTTCCCCCAGTGACGCAATGAAATCAGGCTACCAAATTACACAAGCAAGGGAACAGAAGGTATGACCAAAACATGATATAGAGTGAATGCAAGTACCCATCTGAACTAACAAATTCTAAGGAGTAACACTATACCTTGCTCAACAAAGAGTTCAGGTCCTGAGGATGTGTTTTGGCGATTTCCCCTATCTGCCTGGCTGCAGTAAACCTCGTCCCTTGGGTCGAACCCGCTTAGCTTTCATTAAAGAAAAAACACCATGCCACACTAACACCAATTGACACCAAAAACACAAAAGAAGAAGAAGAAGAAGAAGAAGAAGAAGAAAGAGTAAAGAAAAAGCATCTGATGTATCATCTTCATGTGTACTTGCCAGCTACACAAACAAGTTAGAATAAAAGAATTTATTTTTTGCAAATTCAATAGCAATAACAGTACACATGATCCATAATACCAACGTGCCTATCTAATACATAAGATATCGACGTCTTGCCACAAAATAAACATTTAGATACAAAATAACAGTTGACTTACAACTTATATTGAAACAATTTTGAGACCTGCAAGCATGCTACTTATCAATTGCATACTGCAGACATAATTATATACAAATCTACTTGTGATATTGTATTTATATCCGAGTAAGAATATGGATACTGTCCAGTAAAGTGAGCAGGCGGTTAAGCCTCGATGATTGTTGAGCCATGATTTAATTTTGAAATATATCGTTCAATCGAGTGATTCTTTGATTAAATGATAATAATCGGGCAACATCCATAACATTTCCTGGTTACTTCCACCTCTTGCATGTCACTCGTTGATTACAAAGCCACCGTAAACATATCCCTAGCATTCACCAAAAATAAAATTAGAAGCCAAAAAAGGCTATCCCTTTACTCGAAAATCAAAATTAGATTCAATTTCAGATGCTATTCCATAATTCAAAAAACAACCAGTAGAGCTCGTGCATTTAAAGATTAAACAAAAAAGCCTAATTTGACGAAATCAATCCTCAAAAAGAAAAAAATCGAAATACCTAAGATAATTTTTTTAATCAAGCGTATAATGCGGATCCATTAATTAACAGTGATTAAACCGAATGCTTCACGACACTACGCAATATGTATACACTCCAACACAGACATTTTTATAAAAATTAGAATTACCTGGAGAAAATCTTGTGAGGAAAATTCTCTTTGTAATTGTAATTCCGTGAGTATGTGAAGTTAAAGAGGGACGAGGGTTTCGATTTTGATAATCAGGGCAGGGGACTCTATTTTATTAAAAATGAAATGGAGAAAAAAAACAAAAAGGAATATCCGAATAAGGATCCAGACCCGACCCGGAGTGTTTCTTTGGTTAGAGGGAAGATTTGATAACTGAAAGGTTTAGGGTCTATTCTCTTTACTTTCAAACCGTTTTTTGCTTTTTATTTTTCAAAACGGTGAAAACGCGTTTTTGAAATAAGTTAAAAATTTATAAAGAAAACCAAAAACAATTTGTCGTTTTGGATCTTTCAAAACAATTTTTCAAAATGTCAAAAAAAACACATTTTCAACAATCTCAAAATGGACATTCAAAACACAAAATCCAAAATGAATTCAAAACTCAAAACAAAAAACAGAAATACAAAGGGAATGGCCCTTTAGTTTTACCAATTTCAAATTTAAGAGGTTATGTTTAAAATTTCAAATCTCGGAGTGTTTTAAATTTTATTTATAAATTAATTAATTAAACAAATATTTTATTAATTAAATATATTAATATCACAATTCTAGATAATTTGGTCACAATTCTAGATAATTTGGTCACAAATTACAATTTTCATATGTCACAAATTATTTCACGGTCACAATTCAAAAATTTTATAGGTCACAATTTGTTCATCGGTTACAAATCTATCAAATTAATAAGTTGCATATTATTCATTGATCACAAATTTTATGTCACAAATTTTTTTATGATCACAATTCAAAAATTTTATAAGTCACAATTTGTTCATCGTTCACAAATCAAAAATTGAAACATCACAATTTATTTATAAGTCACAAATCACAAATATTATAAGTCACAACTTATCACACAGTGACAAATTTTCAATTTACCGATCACGAATTAACAATTTTTTTAGCTCACATATTATTTCTTGATCACAATTTATCTTTTTTAAATTATCAAATTATCGGTCATAAATTAATAATTTTTAGGTCACACATTATTTTTTTGTCACAATTTATCTTTTTCATTGGTGAAATTTGTTTATTGGTCACACCAATTTTTTAGTCACAATCAGTCACATATTGTTTATTGGTCACACCAACTAATTTATTGGTCACAATCAAAAAAACAATTTGTGACCACCACCTCCACCTCTAGTAGCACAACCATCAACGCCACCTATACTACCACCACCTCCACCATCTCCTCAAATCCATTACCACCACGCCGCCACCACCACAACCACCATCTACACTCTTCACCACCTTAACCACCTTCTCCACCTCGTCGCACCACCACCACCACCACCAACCAAAAAATTCCCAAACCTACCATCATCGTTGTCGTTGTTGTTATCGTCGTCATCGCCGTCACGACAACCACCAACACTGTCACCGCAATCACCACCATCTCCATCACAGCCACCACCACAACTACCATCTCATCTATCTTCGTCTCAACCACACCACAACCACCAACCTCACTAAAAAATCCCCAAACCGCCACGACCACCATAGCAACCGCGATGCCACACCATGGCCACCTCAACATCACCACTGCCACCACCAACAACCGCAAACACAATAAAAAAACCCAGAGATAAAATCAACAATAATATGTTCGATTTGCAACTTCATAATCAGAACTCAGCGCCGCCACCTGCCTCTGTCACTTACCACCACACATTTTCTTCTCTGGCCCGATTTGCAGCACCAATCACTTGTCCATCACTCCCATAGATAAAATGGCCACTTGTGACCAGAGATCTACAGCGTTGCACGGAAGGGGCTCACGACGCGCAGCAATAGCGGCATCGCCGCTCACAACTCCGGTAGCGTGGTGGGATGAAGAGAGACTTAAAGATCTGGTGGGGCTCATGGCGTGCAACAGCCGCAACATTGTCATGACTAGCCACCACAACCACGGCACCGCAGACCCCTCCACTCCGCCAATCTACCAAATAGAAGGAAAAGGGAAAGAGAGAAATATCTACAATTAGGGATTAAAATTGGGGATGGGGTGGAGTGTATATAAATTAATTTTTAGTTTTATAATATTATTATTAATATTGAAAGATAAATAATTATCGGATTTTTGAAAAGAAATTCTTTAAATCTGAAATTTGAAATTGAATCCTTAAAATTCTAGTTTTGTGTAATTTCCACTTGACCAAAGCCTTCCTATTAATGGGCCGTAGGGTCGGTAATGTTTAATGAGCACTTAACGGCAATTAGAATCTAATTTATTTTGTTGAAGAGAATGTTTCATTATTCATAAATCGGATATTTCATATTTAAAAATTAAAAATTAAATATACAATCTTCACTCTAAACCCTAATTAATTTCTTCAAACCCTAAAAGTCTCATCTCCTCCTCTCCCTCCCTCCCTTTTTCTCTCTTCTCAGTCTTTCTACCTTTCCCACCCTTAACTATTGTGGCGTCTCCCCATACCCTCATCCGACATCAAAATCATACCTCATTCAATGTTGGCAAGGCGACAACATAGCAGTGCATCATTGTGGGAGCACCGCTGCACGAAGCAAGACAGCGATATTGTGCAGTGTCGCCTAAGAGTCCTCCCTGAGGATAACGCAGCTACGCGCACCAAGGTGGCACTGAGTTTATTTTTTTATTCAATCTACTGTAGGTGATTTTTTTGTTGGTGATTTTATTATTAGATTTTCAGTGGGTGGCTTGTCGATTGCTACAATGGTGGTGGTGTGGTGTGCGGTGCTTCTTTCCCCCAAGTTTTCTATTAGGTGACCAATAATTTGTGGTGGTCGGCGGCGATGGTGGTGGTTGTGACGGGTGGTTTGTGTGTGGGATGGCATTGGTGGTGCGATCTAGTGATGGGTTTGTGTGACTATGGTTGTGGTTTTGTGTTGCTATGGTGTGTGTGGTTGTATTGTGGTTGCTATATTGGTGGTTTTGAGTGGTCTAATGGTGGTAATGGTGATGGTGGTGATCATAATCGTGGTCGTGTGTGGGATTGGGGTGGGGTGGGGTACTAATTTGTAACGAATAAATAATATGAAATCTAAAAATTGTGATTGTAACTCACAATTTATTAAGTTGTAATCGAGAAATTAATTGTGACCAATTAATTTGATAATTTACAATGAATAAATGAGTTGCGATCAATAAAAGTTTTGATTTTGTGACCGATGAATAATATGACCTGTAAAAATTTTGAATTGTGGTCGAGAAATAATCTGTGACCTATAATTTTTTTGATTGTGATCGAGAAATAAGTTGTGACCAGTAATTTGATAAGTTGTGATTGAAAATTAATTTATGACTAATTGATTAGATATTTTGTGACTATAAAAGAAGTTATGACTTGTAAAATTTGTGATTTGTGACCAATGAATAATATATGATCTATTAATTTAATAGATTTGTGATCAATAAATAAATTGTGACATATAAAAATGTTATTTGAAATAATGTGACCTATAAAAAATTTTATTGTGACTAAGAAATAATTTGTAACCACTTAATTTATAATTTGTGATCAAACTGTATAGAATCGTGACCTTGATATATTTAATTAATAAAATATATGTTTAATAAATTAGTTTATAAATAAATTTTTAAAAATTTTGATTTTTGAAATTTTAAACTTTGTTTTTTAGTTTTAAAATGTGTCATACTTAATCTCCTATTTATGAATTTTTTCCATTTATTTTTCTTTTTTAAAAAAGAATTAGACTTATTAATCTCTATGAAATAATATTTTCTTGAATGTATATTAAAGTTTTATTTTATAAATATAAATTTTTGATAATAGGAAAGATAAAAATCTTACCAAAAAATTAATAATAGTAGTAATATCTCAAAAATACGTAGCATGAAAAAAATATATATATATTAAAAACATTCATGATGCTACCAAGGGGTGGATCCAGGATTTTGAGTCATGGGTGGTTGTTGACGGCCGCAATACTAACCAATGCCGTGAACTGGAATTACTTATATCATTTACCGGTCTAATAATGTTTAACGAGTAACAATTTGAAATTTGAAAAACGAGTTCAATTATTTACTATGTTGTTTCGATTTGTTGATAATTTCAGCCTAACCGAAAAATGACTATTTTAATAATCTCATTGTAAGGTTGAATTTTAGTTAAAAGAATTTTAAAAAACAAAGGGGGAATTTACATATTACTTGATAAAATATCATATAAAATTTTGTTAACTAAATGTCCATCCACCAAATGTCATAGTGGTCAAGTGTTTCATAATTACAGCGGTGATCACATGTTCGATTCAAATATTCCAATTGTACTGGTTATAAGAAAAAGTTGGAGCCAAAGTATCAAACATTTCATTTAGTTGCAGATTTTGCCCAAACATTTCATNAAACATTTCATTTAGTTGCAGATTTTGCCCAAACCTTTCATTTGTGACACACACGATATCAAACCTTTAAAAAATCGCAGCTCCTATCTAGATTGACGGTTTCCGTTTGTTTGACCATCAAAAT